ACGGGATTTTGAATCTATCTCTGGTGGTTATAAATTGATTACACATATAATTATTTATAAAAGCCATAGTTACTGAGCACCTGATATGTGCAAGTTCTCTGCCAGGTACAATGGTTACCATCATCATCATCAGACAAATACAGGTTTTAAAATCCATGTGAGTTCAGAGAAGGGAGAGATGATAATAAAAGTAAAAGTAGTAAAAGTACTTTTTTCTAGTGAAGTCTCTAGAAAGACACCATGGAAACGCTGGCACTGAGTTGAGCCTTACAATTCAAAGGGGAGCTGGAGAGAGGTGGCAAATGGGGGAGGAATATTCTGCTTGGGAACAGCATGAGCAAAGGTACACTTCAGTCAAAACACCAGCGTTTCTAGTCTAGGACCCGGCTTGATCGATTTCTACCCCTTTTTCCCACTCTTTGGGCTGTGTAACGTCATGGCCTTTGTCCGCTAAAGTGTTGCTTTAGGATACTTTTGGTCCCCAAAGCCAAAGACAGCTATAGCTGGTCACAGTCCTCCCTCAACTTCTCCTTAACAGCTTCTCATTCTCACCCTATTCACATGTAGCTTCAAATCCCTTTTTTCCACAAAGAGAATTTCAGAAACAACGTTGTTGAGTGGCTGAGCTCTCCAGAGGAACTGAAGAGAAAGGGAGAGGCACAGGAATCACTAAGAACAAAACAAGGACTGCGTTCAAAGTTGAGCTCAGTGTAGACACCAAAGCTAATGAATTCCCAGGTAGAACATGGGGCGAACAACCTAAATCCAGTCAGTCTCTAATGACATTCAGACCTAGAAGTGCTTACCTGCAAACAGGGAACTGAATTTGAGAAACAAAACAAGGCCGGTAAATTCCTGAAAGGAGACAGGTCTTTTTCCTTGGAGACAAACCAAATTATGCACTGCCTCTCTCACTACCAACAGACTCTGGCTCAAACATTTTTAAAAGAAGGCTGTTGAACATCTGCTGGGCAATTAATGGAATGCAGCAGCGTGCTGTAATGGTCCCTGGGAAGGTATTAGCAATCCTGCTTATGAGACATGAAATGTTGCAAACCGTGGTCCTTTTTCCCTTTTTTTTTTTTTTTTTTTTTAATTTTTATGTCCTCCTGCCTGCAGGGGGGATGAAAAGAAGGGAAAGGGAGTGAAGTGGAACTTCGGCATCAAATACTCTTCCTCACTGTTTCCTGTTTCCTCTTTTCCCCACTTACCTTCATCCTTCTCTTCCTAGCCAGCCAAATAGGAATGTGCTGATTCTAACTTAATCAAAGAAAGTGTGGCAAGTGTCTCAACCCACTGATCTCCCACCCAGTGTGCCACGTTTTCTAAGTGTGAAAGAATTCACTCTAGTGTCTTGGTAGACACAATCTACTACTCTGTTCAAATAGTTTACAGCAATCAGATGGCCAGGGCCAACTCAGGGACACTCTCCAGATGGCCAGGGCCGACTCAGGGACACTCTCCAGATGGCCAGGGCCGACTCAGGGACACTCTAAGGGAAATGGATACCTCACATATTTCACTTCCTCACCAGAGGTACCAAAGAGTGCCCATCTTTACATAAACCTTGTCTTTTGTCGTGATGGTCAGGCTGAGAGCGATGCTGCACCTGTGGGTAGGGCCAATTTTGCCACTCTTATGAGGAACATGGCAACACTCAACACAGAAAAAGTTTCCAATTCCATTATTCTGTCAGCCCTTGATGTCCTCTCCCTTTACTCTTCAAACTCGAGCTGATTATTCACATATAAGTCTACATCTACTGCAGTCACTGAGCCAGTCATGAGAGGAAGATCAATAATGCCAGTTGGTCAAGGTTTGGAATTATCCTGCCAAAGAAGAACCCTGAACAACCCACAATGGTTGGAAGTCAAAGACTTTTTTCACTTTCTCCCAATTGCCTAGTCTAACACTGGGGTTTTGCCTCAAACTACTTTTTAATTTTACTCTCTTTATAATCTTGCATCATACTGATCTGCGCTGTGGGGAGTCTTCAAATCTCGGCAGGTTGACATGACCTCCCAGTAGCATACCTTCCTTTAGCCATCCCCTCTTCCCAGAGATCTGAGTCCCGTTCCCCAAGCCCCCAGCGATGGAACGAACCTTGAACATTAAGTGGAGAAGTTCCAGATCTTCCCAACTTTGCCATCTGGAACTTACATTGGTGGAATTAACGGTTCATGGTTACCGCGAATGGACTTTCTTTCCCACGTGGAACGATGAATCCCACACAGATGGCTTCGCATGCCTTGGCTGTATCCATTTCCCTGGCCAAGGCCTGGCTAAATCAGTTTCAGCTAATTACCACTTTTTTGACCTGTTTTTCTTTTTAGCCTGATCCCAGCTCTACCAGTTGCCATTATAGGAAACTTCCTTAAGTAACATTTGAAATTAGGTTTCAAATTCAGCAAGATATTCTGAACCATCTCTGGAGTGTGATGTGAAAATCAGTTAAATAAAAATCAGGCACATAGAATAACTGATGGAAGATAAGTATGGGAGTATGGGAGGAAGCAAAGGTGTGAAATGCAGGTGGCCTTCAGAGCTGGAGGAGTGGGGTTAGTTCTCTAATTTAACCTAGATGGTCCCCTTTCCAATAGAGGCCCCTGGTAAACAGTAAGGGAGTTTTTTCTAATAAATCAAGCTACTCCACGGCAAAATATGTTGCCTGAAGATAGTGTTCATTTAGAAGTTGCGCAGCTGTAAAGCAAATTTTGCACTACAAGGGATGGGCTAAGTTGGCCACTTCCCTTCAAATCCAGAATTCAGTATGCAACGTCAAGCTCAGCTGTTTTTAACCTCTAAACTGAAAGAGCACAAGTAGCTCTAGCTATTATAGGAGGGGATGATAAGGTTCAGTCTGCCACCTCAACAGGCTGGGCTGTCGAATTAATCAGTAAATCTATCTAAAACAATTTCAGGTTGTTAAACTTGCCACTCATGTGAAAATTTTGTCGGTGGCTTGGCTATCAGGATGACTACAACTGATGTTCTTATACTTTGTTTTCTGGTACAACGAGCCGTGTGTAATTGCCACGTGTCACCACCATTCACCAAAGACCAAAGGTCAACCTTCTGGTGGAAACTGCTAATCTATATCATCAAATGCCCTGAGATAACTTGGCAGCTTTCTTTCATGCCTTAGGCTTAAAGGTTTTTCTCCATAGGTCTTGCTTAATTGTTCTCCATCATTTTCTCAATTTCTTTATGGCATTTTCATCAGCAATACAATTCGGAAAGTAGCATTTGTTAATTTGTTCCCTGTATGGCTTTCCCCAGGGATGGAAGCTTCATGAGGGCACAGACTCTATCCTATGCTGAGGACATTGCTTGGCTCAGAGTAGGCAGGCACTCTAAATGCCTGTTCAATGGATGAATTAGGATGGCAGGCTGGAGAACACAAAACCAGCTCTCCTCAATCCTCCTTGCTCTTAAGAGTCATCTTCTTCAAGGGATACTCTGAATCAGTCACACCTCCATTTAAACATCTTGATGGCTTCCCAGAGCCCACCAAATTAAGTACAAACTGCAGCCTGGCATACTTCCATGCTCCTCTTCCATATCCCATGCTCACAACAGTGACTTTTAAATATTATTTTTTAAGGCAGTGGGAATTTTTCTAAACAAAATATTTCATGAAACGTTAATAAACAAAGAAAAAAATATATGATCCAAACAGTTTGGCTGCTTGGCCTTCCTCTAGACCTAGGCACACCTCTGGAATCTCCAGAAATCCAAAGAATGGAGGTGGGAACTGCTGCTCTTTGTTTCCACTTATTCAGGCTCCCCAAAGCCCTGGTGACTTTCACACTCCTTCCTTGGGGTTTTGGTGCTTGGAATGGTCTCTTGAGGTCAATCCTTTCCATCTTTTCCCAAAGACCATCTTCTCCATGAAGCTTTCCTATATCATTATGAATACACACAGTTCCTTTCTGCTTTAAATTTCCTATACAACTTTGATTGTTAATAATAAAAAAAGAAGGGAAAATAGTTTACTATGTGCCAGAAACTACTCTAAGTGCATTGCCTGAATTAACTTCATCCTCACACAATCCCATGGACATAGGTGCTAGTGCCATTTCAAAGCTTCCAAGAAGTTAAGTCTCTTCTCAGGGTCTATCTGGCAAGTAAGTGAAGGAGCTAAGACTGAAACCAATGATCTGGCTGCAAAGTATATCACCTCTCTATATAAGCATTTATTCATTTTACTCATGAGATGTCCCGCCATTGCCCATTTCCTGCACCTCACCACACCGCCACAACTGTTACCATCCAACTATGCCACACCACAATCAGATTTACGGTTTTTGAGGTGAAAGACCATTTCCTGTTAGCCTTTGTATTCCATGCAGCACCAACACTATACTCTGAAAAAATAAGTACCCAATAAATATTGTTAATTTATTGTTAATGTAACACAATAATATCTGTTTCTATACACTGGGAATTATCTGAGTTATCACTGAGATTTCTACATAGCCTTAGTAGGAGGAACCCCCCTCCCTCCACCTTGTCCAGGTGAAGAGACAGAAGCTTAATGACACTAAGATCGTGAATGACCCACTCAGGGTTTATCTTGGTTATGGCCCTGTGCAATGCCTAAGTCCCAGTTATCTCTACTCATTATCCCAAAACTTAAAGAAAATTCTTTATAACATAAATAACTGAAAATAAGGTGTTGCAGAAAGATTGGAAAAAAGTTATTTGTAAGGTTAACTTTATTTTCAAGACTTCTGTTGAGAAGGAGCATGGCATCATTTGAGGAGTATGTATTTAGGTGATTCCCTGACAGTTTTTGCCAGTGACTAAGTAGGAAAGTCTCCTTATTCTGCTGTGTTACGGGTCCCCATTAGGGCAAAAATGCCAAGTAAGGGAACCTCTAAAGACTGGTGATCTTCTTTCTCATTAGCAGTGCCATCATTTCATCTATGCCAAAAACGTGGACTGGGATCCCCCTTTGCTAGGGCGACCAGCTGGCAGCCAGGGACCTGGAAACTGACCTGCTGTTAAGTGGGCTGCGTGGACAAGGATTTGGACCCCAGGCTTCAGCTCAAAGTGCACCGAGTTTTGGTTGAGCTTGTGGATCAGCAGCTCTGATATCTGAAAGAAGAAGTGTTACAGTGAGTGCCTCCAAAATTGCCATGCCAACAATAAACAAACGTGCGGAGAAATATTTACTGTAGTTACTAAGGCATCCTCATGTTATGCCTGTGAATTCTATAAATGAGTCTTGTATGATTTTGAGTTTTTATTCCAGAATACGCACACATAGTGATTTTTAAAGCATGGCCCGAGTTTACATCCTAATTGCTACAAAATAGGACAAACTATTAGTAAATACAAACATTTCTGCTCTTAAAAAATTATCCTGTGTTATCCTAGAAAAGTCACCCCCAGTTTTTTGAAAGAGCATTTGTTATACACAAAAACTTAAAAGAAGTAATTATGTACACTTTACACATTCTGGTGAGATTGGTATGCACTAATTTTACTTCTTGAGAGTAGACTCCATCTTATTCCTCTCTGTGCTTCTTTCCTCTTACCCTAACTGCACCCTGTGGCTTTCACAGAATAGATACTTTATGAATATTTATTGAACGGTAAATGTAGTTCCACTAAAATAATAAATTATACAGTGGAAACAAACTGTAAACACAATCTCAGTGATGCATTGGCTGATCCTTGTTTCCTGCTTATGGACATTAGCTAAAACACTCCCCAGGCTGACACCTGTGTACAGGGTAGACCTGTGGGATTCTGGGCCATGAAATACCAAACCCCAAAAAGGGCAAAGAACCATGTTTAGGTAGTAACAGCATAAGGACGGGTTTGATAGAAAAGGTAAACCTCTGTTCTGTTCACTTGTTTAAAGTAGAAAATCCAGCTCAATTTTCTTATCCTTCTGAGCAATTTCTGAAAAGCTATCAGGGAAAATCATGCTCCTATTATTTTTATCTGGACTCCTTACTTTATTTTTAATAGTCTAATCATCAATTTAATATTTTATTTAATAAGCTATTTAAGTCTAGTTAGATGCTTTCTTTTCCTTAATTAATTAATTTTTTATTTATTTGAGAGAGAGAGAGACAGCGAGAGAGGGAACACAAGCAGGGGGAGTGGGAGAGGGAGAAGCAGCCTTCCCGTGGAGCACGGAGATGGATGTGTGGCTTGATCCCAGGACACTGGGATCATGACCTGAGCTGAAGGCAGGCGCTTAACGACTGAGCCACCCAGGCGCCCCTAGTTAGATGCTTTCTGACCACCATTTTTTTTTCCTTTTATAAAAATTTGTCCAGTTTCACTTAGCCTACTGAATTGCCAAAATGACACCTTTGAATGATCTTTTTATCAATTAAGCAGAGCCTGATGGCTTTGTGTTGAAGCAGAGAGTCCCTGGTAGACCCCCTGATGGGTAATGGAACTGAACTGCCCTGCAGATGGACTTGTTTGCTTAACAACAGGAACTTGGGATGACTGTCAGTGACCTGCAGTTGAGCACCTGGGATCCAGTGCAAGCTCAGCATCTCAAATGCCTTCATTTGGCATACCATGCAGGAAAACAAGGTTGTGATACAATTATGTTGAAAACAACTTTCTCCTCTATATTAGGCTCTATATTACTCTTTTTCCTGGGCACTGGGAATCTTCTGGAATGCTCCAGGTTTATAGGAATAGACCTCTAGCACAGACTGTGCAGAATGTTTTTCCTGTGTGATCTCTAAAGGGTTGCAATGTATAGGTTCCTATTCTATCTTACAATTTACTTGGTAAGGTCTTTATGGGAATCTGACAGGATTTTTAGTAGAGGTCAATCAGCAAGGTTTTTGCTAATGAAACCCAGAAATGTGTGTGTGTGTGTGTGTACATATATACCATATATATGTATACACACATCATATATATGTGAAATATACACATTTACATACATATGCATATATATATGTGTACATATCTAAATTTATATTTGCAGAGGAATATTTTAACTCAAATGGGAAAGACTTGTCAGAAGTAATTAATGAATTGCCCTGTTTTGCAGAGTCCATCATGTGGCCAAAAGGGAAATATGTATTTGCAAGAGAAAGACTTCTCTCTTTCAACCAGTTGAAGTGATATTTATTTCTTATTCCTGAGGATGTTTTTTCCTCAAGTGAGAGGTATAAATAACTAAACCAGAAGAAAGTGTTCATCAGAAAAACATATTTCTAATTTATAATCTCCAGGAGAGTTCCTTGTGAAAATAATTAACTTCCCGGATTTGTTTTGGTTTATAACATTGCTTCACTGGATTTATCTGTATCATTTACAAAATTAAGCAGGCTATGCCAAAATAATCTGGTAGCAGAAAGTATGTTTCATGTATTTAACTTGCATCAAAGGACATGCAGTAAAGAACACGTATCTATGGGAAAGAAATTATGCACAGAAACAAAACTAAATGAAATGTACATTGCATACAAGCATAATCTCAATTAGAACCATGTAATTCTCTACTCAAATAAATGAGTACAAAATTGTGGACAGATTTTCACAATTTTAAATGTTTTTCAAGCCATTTGCAGAATTGTTTATTCTGTATTTTTCTATCACAAGTTGTTATATATTTTATATAAAATATACATAAGTATATATACCATATATATAATATATATGCATTGAACACTTTATATTGGCAAAGTTGCCTATTTCTCAATATTTTTCTAACATAGCATGTCTTAGGTATTACTGCTGGTATCTCCATGGAAAGGACCATGGAGCTTACAGGACCTACCTAAGTTTACCCAGTTAATATTTGAAGAGTTGACACCAGACTTCAGTTTTGTTTGACTCCTAATCCTGGGGCATTTTCATTAAAAACATTTTCCTTGAACCAGCTGACAAAAAGAGAGAGCAAGAGATATATGGGAAGAGGGCTGGCTGAGCAGGTTTAGGAAATTAAAAAAAAAAAAAAAACCCACCACTGCAGCATTTCATTAATTATGCTGCCATCTCTTATTCATCTGTGAGGCGCACTTGTAACACCAGTCCCAGGTCAGCTGCCCAGTACGAGCTGCACCAACAGGCAACTGCCAACCCTCTCCCCTGGACCGCCACATTCTGCTCACCAGTCAATATAATTTGTACTGATCGGGAGAGACTTTGGCTATGAAAGGAATGGAATGAACTGGAATCTGTAGGGCAGGTGGCTGCAGCCTAAATGGGAAGGACAAAACCTTGCATGATAGAGACTAAGTGGGGTAATGTGTGACTGCTGGGACACTGAACTTGTTGGAGCCAGTTCAATATATTTATTTTTCTTTCTCTGTCCAGTGAAAGTGTGTTGTCTTAGCAAATTGCATGTACCCTTTGTGATGTTAGCCCTCTCCTGCTGCTCTCCTACACAGTCCATTTTCTATTCTCTTCCTAAATAATCATGACCAATGAAACAACATATTATTCTTGGTATCTGCCCATTGGTGGACTTGGCTTGGGATTCCAGTGCAACCCACACTTGCCTTGAAGTACCAGTTAAAAACACAGTGGGGACACAAGAAAAACACTTGGAAAGCTCCCATCAGCACGGAGTAGTGGGAGGGACCTGCTATAGGGGAAAACACCAATTCTCTTCTGTATCTTCTTCACAAAATATAAAATTTAAGTACAGCAATCAGAACAGGCTAGGTTAGGCTGGGGTAACAGGGTTAAAGGCTCAGAGGTTTCCAACAATGAAGGTATATTTCTGGCTCATACTTCATACCCAATGCAGGTGGGTGTGGTGCTGTGTTCATTATGGTCACACAGGCTGGTGTAACTGCCCCCCCCCGCAAATGTTTCCGTCCACAGAACCACAGGAGGGAAAAGGAGCCCTCAAGGGTCTACAACCGGTATTTGAATACTTCTGCTTACAAGGAAACAAATCACTTCTGCTCCTAGCTCATTGGCCAGAATCAGTCACATGGTTCTGCCCAAAGAAGAGGCCCATGGGTACCAGCCTACGTGTATCCAGAAGGAAGTGAGCTGGAAATAGTCAACAGCAGTGATGGTTGCCACACAAAGAATACATTTAATGCTGAAAAATTTTTAATGAAACCAATAGGAGAAAACACACTCTCAGATTATAAGAATGAAAAGTGTCAAATATTGAAACATGAAAAAAGAGAATTTAAGAACAGAGCAGTTGGTAAATTTATGAAACATACAAGCCAAGAAAGTGGTACAAGGTGAAACTATAGATGGCAAAATGGTCTTTGGCAGATTGATCAGTGATAAAGCTGCACTGGGCCAAAATACTAACGTTTATCTCTGAAGTTGGCAGGAGGAATGCAAACCCTACTGAACATAAATAGCATTCTGGTGCCATGTTCAGAGATACTTGCCTGTAATGATCTTGGAGCTGACCCACCAGATCACTCCTGATCCTGTTAAATTATTAAGGTCTTTTTAAATAGCAGTTGAAGAATCTTCCTTTTGGATTCAACAAAGGAAGAGCTTTCCCAATTCATACAACATATTTTTTGGATAAAATCATGGGGAGGGCAACAGAACCAAACACTAATTCCAGTTAACACTAGCTTACCCAATTCCCTTCTTTCTTAACACAAAAGAATCGTTTTGATTAAAGTGCCTGAGAAGTTTCCTGGGTGATATAATGAAGAAACACATTGGCTATACATATCTCCTTCCCGGTATTCCCCATCATCAGCCCTAAATTTGTCTCCCTTGGCCATATTCCTTCCAGTACAACTCTTACCTAATCACCTTTCAATTATAGTTTCCTGCTTTAATGATCTTCCTTGTGAACTCTAGGTATTTGTACAATCCAAATCCCCATGTTAAAAAATCCAGACAGGGTAGATTATGTGGGTAATAGTTTGAGATTATCAATTATAGTTCATAATGAATCTTTATTTCCTTAAAATGCTGCCAATAGATGGTTCCATTTTCAGAGGCTCCCTTCCTTTCTCTGGATTTTGGATTCTCCATCGGTCAAAGGTATATGGTAACAAAAACAGCCAAGGAGGAAATTCAGTGATGGTGGTTGACATTTTTTCCATAATCTTTTTGTTTCTTTTTCAATGTTTTCATGCCCTTTAAGGATTCTGCAAGACAACATGTAGGCTCCCTATCTCTCCAGCACAGTGTCACAAAGACTCTCAATAGAACATGGTGGTCTTTCCTCCCTCCAGGAGAGCCAGATATAAATCTGCTCCCCTCTGAGGACTCCGAGAGAAGCAAGGGAGTAGGGGCCAGAGGCGGGGGAGCTGGCGTTGCTCCAGACCTGAGCAGTTGGGGCAGCAGGATGTGCTATCCCTGATGAGGCCAGCTAAGGGCAAGTGAGCCTTTTCTTACTCCCCAGAGATCTGAAATAAAGACTGGTGGAACCCTCCCAGACAGAGGTCACTTGATTAACCCTGCCCACGTTAGCCTGATAACAGGGTCAAGTACTTTCTCACTGTAAGGAATTTTCAATTTATTTCACAGACAAGATAGCTTGATCTGAGCCTGCATGGCTGCTCCCCTGGGGAAGCTAAGGGAGGAGAGCCAAGAGCCTTTTGCTGGGACCTCACCCTTGCAGTTTCCCGGGTCCGTTTAGCCAGGGTCCCACTTCTTCCCCTGCTGGGGGTTCTGTGTGGTACACTTACAAGAAAGGAGTTGGGCGCCTCGGTGGCGCAGTTGGTTGAGCGACTGACTTCGGCTCAGGTCATGATCCCGGAGTCCTGGGATCGAGTCCCGTATTGGGCTCCCTGCTCAGCGAGGAATCTGCTTCTCCCTCTGACCCTCTTCCCTTCCCTCTCGTGCTCTCTCTCATTCTCTCTCTAATAAATAAATAAAATCTTTAAAAAAAAAAAGAAAGAAAGAAAGAAAGGAGCCAGAGCACCAAGAGAGGGATAAGGTCAGCCCTTCCCAAGTTCCATCTGGGATTTGGAGTGCAGACCTCTGGGAGGGAGGGGGCCGGGGCACATGGTGGGGAGCATTTCCTTCTGTTGTTTGCTTCTGCTCTGCATTCATTTAAAATTTCTGTGGAATTTATTACAAAGAGAGTCAGCTGCTTTTGTCTGCCTGGTGTTACTTCTCTCTCCCCATTTTTCTTTGAGGAACCATGTCCTTCTCCATTCTCTGTCCCCTTGATTCTGGAGAGGCTTCCTGAGCCCCTGATCCAGGCGGCATATAAAACATCTGAGTTGTTGGAGCCAGCACACCGTCCCTCTGACTACAGGGATGATGTAAGAGATGGCCACTTCGCCCAGGCTGGGCCAGTGAGAACTGTCCACCTGGAGCTCTTGCGGTGCTCTAGGGAGACAGACACTGCTTTTCCGATGAGGCCGACAGGCTGACTAAACAGAAGCCCGGGCCTCTGGTACCCATCCTTGCCTTCCTGCCTGCTGGCTTCATTCTCAGGCCGATTTCCCCATGGGGTAACAAAGAAAAGAGATGGAGAAAGAGGGAGAGAGGCGGGTATTTGGTGGCATTTTTGAGTGGCTCTGAATTCACTGAATGAATACATGCTTGAACTGTGTCCTTGGACCTCCCCATTAAATAAGCTCATAGATTCACTGTTTTTGCTTAAACTGGTTTGAATTGGCTCTCTCTCAGTTGCATCAGAAATTAAAAGAAAAAAAAGATACAAAAACTCAAAATAAAACAATGCATTTCTTATTCATTTCCTGGTGCAGCAGCCTTGGTACTTTCAGGCCCACAGAAACAAAGTGGCAGCCAATCCACGTCTGCAGCGGGGCGGGGTGGGGGGGCCACAGGCTTGAGTTCCTTGCAGAAACACAACTAGCATCTCATTGTCTTGAAGAGCTGTGTCACCTCAAGCAAGTCACTCCTCCGTGTCGGGGCCTGAATTCCCTCACTTTAAAGGGACTGAGTCAGCGAGAAGGGTCAAAGAACCCTTTTTGGTAGAAAACTACAGGTTTCCAATGGCAGCCCGTTTCACAATATCTCGACACGAGGCTCAGTTTTATATGTTGATTTTGTTACTGTATGTTTTAAATCAGGGTAAGAATATTCGCCACGACAAAGACACTCATTTCTTATGTGCCTGGTTTGGCATTTGTTTGGTTAGAGTCCTAGATAAGGTGGATGCACTTGCAATTTCCTTAAACAGACGTACAACGCTAGCCTGGTAGCTTGTTTTCCTTCATGCTGAAAATCCACATGAAAACTCTGATGGGGCTCCCTCACTCCTGTGTAGTCAACTCATGCACATTCCTTCTGTTTCTTATTGTTCTTGTTCTCTTCTCGATTTTGTATAATTTCATGCGGTCATCTTCTTCTTACTCCTGCCAGCCTCTTGCTTCCAATATGTGCCCTTGACTATACCAAATAGTCTCTTTCACAAGCTTACACTTCCCTTTTGCATTTCCATATACCCTCTTCCTATCTCGAGATGGCCACAAATGTATCCATAATCTATTTATCACTTACTGAGCATTTACTAGGAGCCAAGTACTTTGCAGGTCATTTCTTGAATGTTCTCTCACCCTATGAAATGGGTATTATAGACTGCCTCACTTTGGCTGACTTACATAACTTTCCTAGTCCTAAATTACTTTATCTATAAATGATACAATGGATATTGGAGCTAAAACTAGAAACTTGGGTTTTATCTCTCCATTCCTGCGTTCTTATGTTTTTAAGATTTGATTTATTTATTTGAGAGAGAGAGAGGGCACAAGTGAGAGGAGGAGCAGAGGGAGAGAGAGAAGCAGATGCCCCACTGAGTACGGGGCCTGATGTGGGGCTCCATCCCAGGACTCTGAGATCAAGATCTGAGCTGAAGTCAGACCCTTAACTGAGTGAGCCACTCAGGTGCCCCACTCCTGTGTTCTAATGAAACGGCTGGTCTCCCTACAATATGTGCCAAATGCTAAGTCACACAGCCTTCAAATCTGACTCAGGGGTTCATCAGTGACACCCGACGGCCTCAGAGACAGTCACTCAACTCTCAGAATGTCTTTGGAGGAGGGTAGTCGGATGAGAGAGAGAAGAAGGGAAATAAGAGCTTCAGAGAAGATACATTCCTACACAAGCAAAAGAAACTTTACAGAATATACCCCTCTTCTTCCCACATTTCTCAAGAAAACATCTAGAACTTTTAGAAAAAAAAAAAGATATTTTTAGATACTTTTAGAAAAAAAAAGGAAAGTATGAGAAACAGAGATGCCCAGATGATGTGATGCCTTGGAAATTGGCTGGTGCTAAGTGTGGACTCTCTTCCATACTTGAAAAGGTTATGATCTGGATTTCATGGAAGACTGATACGATTTCCAGGGGAAGAATGACTGTACATGCTCATACCTCAAGCCCTTAGATACTCATCTACCTCCCCTGCAGGTTCTCAGCAATGCTGGGATAAGAAGCAATCCATTTCATTCTCCCACAAAGTTGCAGGTGCAGATAACAATTTGTGGAAAACAATGGGGAGCTGAGTGCCAGGGCCGAGTGGGGTCAGATGCAAAACTGATGGACGACCTGCTGCGGGCTCTTTAATCACAGTTCACTAGGAGATGGAGTTCAACAGGGCTTTCCAGGACAGCTTTGTTCTTCATTACTTGCACATGGAGAAAATTACAGAGGTGAGCCTTCTGCCAAGTGAGAAAGTGCAGTTGAAAGGAGGGTGTGTGCTAGGAGGTGGGCCATGCTGTAATTCGGGGTTGTTGTTAATAAGGCTGTCATAGGAGGTTCTCAAGCCATCTTCAAAGACGAGAGATCATGTGACTAGATTACGGGCTCATTCTAAGCAAAGTGAAAAACTCCATGTACTGGAGGAGAAAAAGCCAATATTTATTCAGAGTCTGAGAAGAATCCTATTTTTAATCTTTCTGCCAGAAAGCACTGAGAAACCAAATTCATGCAGTTTCTAAGGGGGTAACCAGACCAAGACTGATGATTTTAACTGAATGGATGATGAAGAAAAAGGGAAAGGGGAAGGAAAATGGGAGGAAGAGGAAGAGAAAGTAGAACAATATAATAATCATTCTCACTACACAAGATTAAAGACTCCTTTGAAGTTAAAAGGAGAGGGGGAAAACAGAGATGGAAGGGGGCAGGACACACACACACACACACACACACACACACACACACACACACACACAGAGTCTACTACTCCAGAAGGTGGTGGACATGAAGAAAAGATGGACCCCACACAGCCAGCAAAGGTGGTCTGGAGCCAATATTACTTCATTTATTAGAAACACAAATCAGGTCATCTTAGCATGGTGGCAATACAGAGGATTTATGATATGTATAAAAGTCATACCTTTTAAAAACAGTATCATGCATCACGTATCATTTGACTCTAATGCCATTCTTGTGATGAAAGTCAGAAGAGGAATAAATGGGTTCAACTTCCATGTATTATTCAGCCACATGCTTTTTTCCCCACTTACTATCTTGGACAGTTTGCCTCACAGATTTATCCAGTTCACTGTAAACCCTCTATTCTATAGCGTGGAGATATAATCTGAGGAGGTTAGCTACCACCTACAATAACCACGCTTGCGCGTGTTTGGCGGTGAAGCTGTAGTTAGGATCAGCAGATTATGGGTGAGAAACAGAAGACCACAAACAGCCAGCACCCTCGCCCTCAAGCTGGGATCCCTCAGAGCTGCTGTGCTGGGGGAGTCTGGTACCAGCGGGGGTGTGGCTCAGACTTGTGTGGAAGCTGAATATCACCTGGGGGACTCACCTGCTCTAGGTCCTCAGCTGACCGTTTGTTTTCTCCAGTCGGATCCTGATAGGGCAAGACAAAGAGCTCAGCGGCGGTAGGTAAGCCAGGAAGCACCGCCACCAGGATGTGCTGGCCTGGGACCCCTGTGGCCTGAGGGAGAGACAGAAGCTCACGTAAGCTCTACAGGAGAAGGTGGTGAGGATATATGGAGTACTCGCGGGCAGGAGGGCGGCAGGAAGACACAGTGGGTGGGGTGGGCAAGCAGGCAGGCAGGACGTGAGCCTCCTGGAAAGGGACATGACACGGGCTAAGGCAGCTGGAGCCTGAGTCCATGGCACTCCTAGGGGCTAAGACAGTGATTTCTCCCTGAGGGAGGTGGGTGCAGCATCTCTCTTTCTGCTGGACAGATGGCAGATGCAAGAAGGTTCAACAGTGGCTTAAGGCCATCTAGGTAGCGCATGGGGACACTGAGCTTGGAACTTGGGTCTGACCATGAAGCCCTTGTTTACCCCATCTCAGGAGGTCAGCCTCCCTTCACCTGATACTTAGCACTCAGTAGCCTGGGTCACAGCTAACAAACTGTTTTATGGCCCTCCCAGATTTTAAACTCAGAGATTATATCTGAATCATCCTCATTATGTACAAAAATGTTAATTGAATGATATCTGATTAAAGATTTCATTGTGAAATTCAATAGAAAAGCCCCATTTGATGAGGTAAAGGTAACTGCTTTTATATCCCGTTTTGTTACACAGTAAAAAGGAAGAAAACTGCAAATATATTGACCTCAAGTTGGAACTCTTGTAGGGTTTATTTGAGTCCGCTTGACAGTAGGTACCTCAGGGCTTAAGGAAGTAGCCAAGTGTAACTGCTCATCTCAGAGACAGGGTGGGATTCCAGGAACCAGGGACGGGTCAGCTGCCTCCTGAGATGGGGTAAACAAGGAGCCTTTGAAACTGTAAGGGATCAACCCCTCCACCCTATCACACCCTGTGCTGAGAAATGTGGATCCAAACGGTTTATTCTGCCTTTAGCTGATTATGCTATGCAGTAGCCTGGAAATACTGATAAGCAGTAATTTCTAGCCTTCTGGACAGCTGGTGGAAAGGTAGAGGCCCAGGGGATGTGATCCCTAGACTATCAATGTGAAGAGAACGCCGCCTGGAAGGTTGGTCACTGCAGGGCTAATGCTTGGTTGATAAATCAGCTGGGGGAATCGGGCAGCTACCTGGAGGTCTATAGGGTCGCGGATCCCTAGAACACTACAGGCGGAAGGGAGGGGGCTGTGGACTCATTGAGGGGTGTAGTCCTCTCTCTTGGACAGCAGAGGAGAGAAACCCATAGTCACACCAGGGACAAACAGGTCCAAGGGCAGAAGGATCTATTCCAGAGAGGCCTGTGGGCTAGTCGATGCGCCCCCTGGTGGCCCTGATGTTTAGCCACCCGGCGGTCGTGGACACTGAGTCATGAAGACAAAGGTGAGGTGGCATTTACACAGAGGTGAAGACAGCATTCTCCACCCCCACTGCTCCTTGTGTCCCTGTTATTCCATGGGAGGAAGCAAAGGATGGCCACAGGATGGAGAGGTTAGGAAACCACGAGGGCAGTCTGACTCCAGAGTTTGACTTTTAACAGTGTGGCCGGGGCCAGAGCACATGAAGTCTCTATGTTCAGTTTCCTCATCTGTAAAATGGGAATGATTATATTAGCTACATCATAAGCTACTTCTTTTGTGATTAAATGTGCTAAAAAATGCAAATCACTGAGAAGAGTCTTGGGAGTACTGTAGGTGCTAAATCAATATCAACACAGATAATGGCCTGAGTATGGGGAAGGCCAGCCCTTTGCCAACAGGCTGAATGTGAGATCTGTTTTCTGAGCAAGCGGCACCTGAATGCTTTTATCCCATCAGCACTTTGTGTCACAAGGCATCATGTGCTGGGTACCGGAGATAATGTATAAAACACCCTACACTGATTTTCCTGTTAGGCTAAGAAGATGCCCTGGGGAGAGGGAGCTCATCTCTGATTTTCTGGGTTTGTACAATAAATCCGAGCAGCTCCACAAGCAGATATTCCATTCCTCTGTTCACTCATGAAATTGTGTGTTTGCAGGGGGTGATGTGCCTAAAAGAAAGTGTTTTCTCAAACTATCAGTGATACTTACTCAGACGGGGATAAACCTCACCACCTCGCTGTTCTCCCAGAAACCACAGGGGGCCATGTTTTATACGTACAAACCCAGACCCTGGACTCAGACCTTTTGCTTCAATTCACTACTTTCATCAATTACCAGCTGTGAGACCTAAGCAAGTTATTTAACCTCTCTGAACCTCAGTTGCTTTGCCTGCAATAATACCTTCCTCTTGGGGCTGTGGCAGCAGAGACATGCCTTTGAAAGAACAGGGACAGAGAGAGATGACTGACCATCACGTACTGTGCTCACGCCTGCGAGGCTGGAGCCCAGGGCTGCTCTTGTGAACTGTATTCTCGCCGTGTCCCTTCAGTATTGGGCACGGTGGCTGACTTTGCACTTGCTAGTGACCTGAGCATGAACCCTGCCGTATGAAGAGGACGGTCACAAATTTCCATGTGTTTCTTCTCTAAGTGGAAGAAAAGTATCGCGAGGTGCAAGGACTGTGTGTTTGTTCCCAGTTTCAGCCCCCCACCCAGAGCACCTATGCTGTGTCTGCCCATGTGGGGATCAGCAGTGCAGACAGCAGGTGGCCAGCAGATCTCCCAGGGGTGCCAGCTATTTCCTGGCAGCTCTTGGCCCAAGGGTCCCTCACCGTGCAGCTCGTGGAGGACAGAGAGAGAATGTGCCCCACACAAGAGAAGGAACTGTCTGCACTCACTTCCACCAGGGATTTTTTGATGACTCGGCTGATGTCCCTCCTCCACTCAGGGATATCAGGGTTGTAGTCGTCCAGGTTCGGAGAGAAGGACAGGCGAAGGGATCGGAATTCCTCTGGGGATACAACAGTAGGTTGATTACCCAGAGTCCAACAGTTTCCTCAAAAGTATGTTATATATTGCATGCAAAGCCTTAACAAAGGGCCCTTTTCCTCCCCACTCACCAAAGAGAGCCTTCTAGAAGACAAATCTGCTATCCCATCTGCAATCTGCTGTCTCTCCCAGCCCTCGTTTTCTAAACCAGAGCCATAGGTCTGGCCCATGCCTCGTTCTGCAGCCTCTGCTCACTGGTCCCGGTTCTAGACTGAGCACTCGAGGACACTAGAGCCCCGGAGGGCCCTGGATGCACCGCAGGCTCCTGACCCTGGGCCCCTGCGCACACTGTCTCTCCCACAGAATGTGCATCCTTTCTCTCTGCCACGCACAGAGCGTTCAAGCTCTAGTTCGAGCACTTAGCGATGGCATACTCTTCCCCACCATGGTTCAAAGTTCTTTTCCATGGCACTACTGTGTCTTGCACACATTCCCATTATCATTATGATTGTATAATTATATGATTACATGATGATAATTATTACTAGAGTCATTCTGTTGCTATGTTTTGCTTGTATGGAAGCTTTACTTCATGGAATTTTAAGCTCCTTAACTCAAAGAATTTGTTAATTGTCTTTGCAGCCTTTGAGTTCGTCTTGGTCCTCCCGAAGGTAGGATGGGATTGCAAAAGCAAGGGTGTTAGGAGGAGAAGATGGGGAGGCTGAGGAGCGAGGAGCACTGCAGCACTGAGAGGCATACGTGACACTTGTGGAAGGGAGGGAGGCTTGCCCTGCAGTGTGAGGAAGGTCCGGCAGGACTGTCAGGGAGTCCTTGACCCACCGCAGCAACGGAGGAGCCCCCTGCGTGCCAGGGATGAGTCTGCCTTAATATGCCTGTCACATCCGGTCAGTGGCTGTGGTCAGCACCTGGGAGGTGTGGCCTTGGCCCAAGACAGTGATGGGTTTCAGAGCCCAGCCCTGGGGAACTCAGCCCCGGACAAGTCGGGTCATGTTACCGCCCTAAAACCTGCTGGTGGCTTTTAGGAAAAAAAAAAAAAAAAAAAAAAAAAAAAAAAAAAAAAAAAAAAAAAAAGCAGCTTCTTAACCACGGCCTTCATCATCCCATAGAACCCAGGGCAGACTTGCCCTACTGCCTACTCCACGCTCCTCTGTGCTCCAGGACCCCTCCGGGCTGCCATGCTCCTTCCCTCATAAGCACATTCCACTTCCCCAGACACGGCACAGTCGGCTCCTTCTCATCACGCATCAGTCTCTCCCAGGAGAAACTCGGCCACTAGCAAACTGAGTTACCTTCCTTTCTGCTACCTCAGATACCCTTCATTATATGACCCTATTTGTCATCTGCACTCCTTGCCACTTAAATTCTTCTTTTACTGTCTGTCTCCCACACTGAGACCTAAGGTCAATGAGGACAGGAAGGTCACGTTCCTGGCCCTGTGGGATGGTACCCAGCAAATGGTAGGTTTTCAATTATTAGCTAGTCATCTAATTAATAAATTTGTTAAATAAATAAATACATAACACTGGAGGCTCTCTGTAATTTATGCATTTACTTATTCAACAAACCTTTCTTTCTTGTTTAAAGCATGTCTTCATGTTTCAGTAGGGGCTCAGTGACATCCATAATGCTGATTATACATTCAGGAAACATAAAAGCCCACTTGCACATTTCCTAACAATGCTAAAGACTTATCAGACGCAGGCTTTGAAGACTCTTAAATTACAAGGGGTGTATTATGGCAGTCACCTATTTCAAAGACGTATTTTTCACAGCTTGACTATTTTATGAGACACTGGTCACCTATGTGAACATCACTTCAGTTCTGATGTAGAATAATGAAATTCATCTTAATTAATAGCATGGCAAATGGGAATCAGCCAAGGAATCAGCCACTGAGTCCTAACTTTTCACTTTAAAGATATAAATTGATGTCATTTTCACTTTCCCTGAACCTCTTACCAAACTGTAGAAATTTCATCTATAAGGGAAGCTGCTTATCTTAATAAAAAGACACAAATAGAAAAATAATGTGGCTCTCTCTGTAATAACTTAGCAAGCTCAGTAGCAGGACACAGGAGTGTTATACTTAAGTTTACTCAACAAACAGGTGCATGTGGGAGCACTAAAAAAGGTAAATACCAGTAATAAACACACACACACACACACACACACACACACACACAGTTGAGCTTTGAACCATGTGTAGTTTAGGATGCCATCCCTTACCCTCGTAGTTGAAAACCCATATTTAATTTTTGACTCCCCAAAAGCTTAACTACTAATAGCATACTGTGGACCAGGAGACTTACTGATAACAGAGTCAATTAACATGTATTTTGTATGTTAGTTTTCACATACAGTATTCTTACAATAAAGTAAAACTAGAGAAAAGAAAATGTTATTAAGAAAATCATAAGTAAGAGAAAATACATTTATAGTCCTGTACTGTAAATGTACAGTACAAAAATTCCATGTATAAGAGGATCCTTGCAGTTCAAACCTGTGTTACTCAAGGGCCAACTATATTTGTGTGTGTGTGTGTGTGTATTTGCAGCTGCTGAGGCAGATGAATTCTACACATTTACATTTTCTTTTTTGTATTTAAAAGCAAACCTGTGCCCTGAAGCAAATTAAGGAAAACAATTCAAACTAGATTAACTAGATTTTCTTTCCTGCAGTTTATTTTGTGGCTTTGGGTGGACAGTTTTTCCCCCGTCAATTTCCCAAATATAATGCTTCCTGCATTCTGACCATGAGGGCCTTACTGTTCCCCTCAGCTTAACTAAATTTTAGACAAGTTTCTTCCTGACCGCAGGCCTCTGATGTCTCTTTACTTAGAGCATTTACTTTAGAAAACCTGCAATTGTAAATTCCTTCTCTGCTCTTCTGAGATACACACCTTCTCCAACCCAGGAATGTCTCTGTCAGGAACCTGGGAGGCATCTCTTTGAAGTATAACCATCAAGAAAGATAGAAAAAGAGTATGGAGGTTCCTCAAAAAATTAAAAATAGAACTACCATATCATCCAGAACTCCCCTTCTGCGTATTTACTAGAAAGAAACAAAAATACTAACTTGAAGAGATATCTGCCTCCCCACGTTCACTGCTGCATTATTCACAATAGCCAAGATATGGAAATGACCTAATTGTCCGTAGACAGATGAATGGATAAAGAAAGTGTGGTACAGACACACAATGGAATATTATTCAGCCATAAAAGAAAGAAATCCTGCCATTTGTGACAGCATGGAGGGACGCTAAGGGACTTGTGCTAAGTGGACTATGTCAGAGAAAGACAAATATTATACAATCTCACTTATATGTGGACTCGAAAAACAAAAGCAAAAACAAAACCTCAGATACAGAGGATTGGTGGTTGCTAGAGGCAGGGGTTGGAAGGTGGGCAAAATGGGTGAAAGGGTCAAAAGGTACAGACTTCTAGATATAAAATAAGTAAGTCACAGCTTATTTGTGACTATAATTATTAATACTGTACTGTAAGTTTGAAAATTGTTAAGAGAGTAGATCTTAAAAGTTCTCATCACAAAGGAAAAAAGAATTGTAACTACATACAGGGCTGGAGGGTCACTAGATTTGTGGTAATCATTTCACAATATATGCAAATACTGAATCATTATGTTGTACACCTGAGACTGATATAGTGTTGTAGGTCGACTGTATCACTGTATCTCAATAAAAGAATAAGATCGATATACTATTGCCATGTATACTATGAGAGCAAGGAAAGAAAAGGAAAGAAATGGAGGAAGGAAGAAAGGCCCTCTGTCTCCTGGAGGGTAGGAGCCTAATTTCCAGAAGCACAATTAACAAACACGGATGGTCTAATCACATTGATAATCCCCTCACCCCCAAATTCCTCCCGTACTTTTCCATTAGGTCATCCCAGAGTTTAAAAATATTCAACATTTGTTTCAGTTGAGTTCAATCTTGCCCGTTGAACTCTGTGTGACATAATTTGTCTTTAATAGGTCACACATGTCATTAAAATGTTCTAGTGATATATATGAAACTGACACTTCATCTAACTGTAGACAAATTAAGGATGTTTGCTCAGAAATTTGGTTAGCGGAGGGAAGACCACCTCCTTGCTCAAGCTTTGGATGAAGAGACCATTTTTGGTGAAAGTAACTCACTAATTCACTGGATGGAGAGTGATCCACTCTTGGATGACACTGTTCAAGATATTTTAGAAGAGGAATAGGTAAGCCTGGAGAGGGAGTGCGAGGTGGTTAGAGACACTCCTTCTGGATTCAATTCCTAGGCTCTGTTTATTATAGTTATTTCATATTTTCTCATTTGCAAAATAGGAGTAAAAATAGCATATTTCTCATAAGTCTGCTCAGAGGATTCAAGGAAACATATTTATCGAGGGCTTAGAAGAGATGCTAGTAAGGGCTTTGTCAATGTTAATTTCTATCACTACCATCGCTGTTATTATTATTACTGGAGCTGTCACTGAAGAGCTGGATGACTCGAAACCAGAGATTTCCCACTTCTGAGCCACAATTTCCTATCTGGGAGATGATGGGATGGGCCACATAAGCCCAAAGACTTTCTAGGTTTAACATTCTCTCCATGGTTCTGATGAGGCTGCTGCTTGGCTTAACCAAGAGGACACATGTGGGGAGTCATGGGTCATGATGCCCACAACAGCCAGGAAGGAGAGAGAGAGAGAAGAGAGAGGAGAGAGAGAGCCTCACATGGAACAGCCATGAAAACTGGTTAGTGGGGTTATTGCAGAGCATGGGCCCTGGGTCTAGATGGGCTGGGTTAGAAGCCCAGCTCCACCACATATAAGCTGGGGCAAGTTACGTGCCCTGCTGAAGGACCAAGAGTAATAACATCACCTACCCTATGCTAGGGTTGTTGTGAGGATTTAGTGCATTCCCAGAGTATAGAAAGGAGATGCAGAAGGAAAGAGAAGCAGAAGCTCTCCTCCATTTTGTCCACCTGGCTCAGAGGTCTCCTCATTGATGGGACCTTGTTAGGAAAACCATGGCCCTGGTTTGCTTTCAGTTACTGTTTGGGCTTCTCAAGCCTCTTGCAGGTGGTTGGGGGTGGGGGGCAGTGGGCAGGGGAGGGGAGGAGGGAGGAAACATCATGACTCTACCCTTCATCCTTCCCTTTTGCTCTCTCTCTGCACAGCATTTACCTTTCCTATCTTCTTTTAAATTCTTGTTGTTTTAAATTTTAATTTTCCGTGATGCATATGTACCACTTTGATATGAACAATAAATACACTTCACGTTTTTATCATCCATGAATAACAGTGCATACCTATCTTTCTGTGCAGACAAAAATTACCAAAATGAGATCAATTTGTATAAACTGTTTTTAATCCCGCATTTTCAGTCAGTGATCCTACCTTTCCACTTCAGTAAACTTTCACTCCATGCAATACTGACTATATTCAACTTCCCAACCGATTAGAAGATTGTTCTGTACAGCTGTTTGTTCAAACTAATATCCAGTCTAGGATGATACATGACATCTGCTTGTGTGGCCCTTCATCGCTTTTCATTCAGTAGAGTTTTTTTTTTTTTTTGATGATAGATATTTGAGGGAGAGATTTTCAGAATATTTAGATATTGGTATCTTGTTCTTGAATTTTAAAAAAGCCTCAATATTAACTATTTTCTTTCATAATGGGTTTTCATTATTCAAACACCGCCAACATACCAAATGGAACGAATCAGCTTTACGTGTAATGAAGCTCATTCTATCCCACTTCAGGTGAGTGAAGTAGAAGAGCCATTTCAGAACACAAACCAATAAAGGATCTGGGGCTCTTGGGGCCATAACTGTGCTGGTGAAACCACATCTCTTCCAAAGGAGGAGACCAGACCTGACTCAGCTCTTTCTCCACCACCAGCCTCTGTTCTCTGGGTGGAGGCCTAGTGGCCTCTGGTAGCCTACAAGCACCCTACCTCCCTAAGCGTGGGGCCAGCCAGGGGCTCACACGCACAGGCACTCACCATACACCGCGATGGTCTTCGTGTCTTGCAGGATGGCATTCCCAGCTGAGACCTGCACTGTGATGGTGTTCATCCCTTCCGAAGTAAACTTGAATGATATGCTTCCCTCCAAGGTGATCAGAGGCTGAAACAGGGGAGGGCACAGAGTGAGGGGACAGCTGGCCAGTCACCGATGAGACAGCCATGAGCTCCGAGCCACCAACCAGCCACTTAAATCAGCACAGGCTCTTCCCGGTGTGCCCCCGTGCAACTGGCTCCATCTGCTTGCCCATCATCTCCAGTCCGGGCCAGAAAGGAGCTATTAGCCATGACCCCAAGTGAGTCTGCCCATTCCCTGTGACTAGAACACCTCTCTTCTGGTGTGATCCTGATTCAGGGCTGGGGAGATGGATAGGTCTTGCTTGCTGGTGGGACAGATCTCTCTATCTGCAACCTACTCATAACAGGCAGGTCTCTTCATACAAAGAAATACTCAGGTTGGACCCACACAGGCAGCTCATGTTAATCGGATGTAGGCAGCAGTTACTGAAAATCTCTAAGCTTCCAGTTGGTCATCTCCGGGGGGTACGATTCATAGAATATTCCAATGGAACACAGCAGCCATGGAAACCAAAACTGTCCTCATTAGACTGGAGTGGCCTTGTGTGGCTTGGCTCCTCTGAAAAGCCCTATCAGCTGTTTCTGGAAGTAGCTGCTATGGAAACAAGTACTAATTGGACAGTGGTTTGAGGACTGAAAAGAAAAATACAATTTGGAGTCGTGCCTGTGATAGAATCAGACGCCGGGATCCTGGAGGAAAAGATGATTAGCCTAATGACCTCCCTCAACTCATTATGCACAAACATTTCTTTCCTGTCTTTTCTTAATTAATTAAAAAATCTAAATTCATGTAACCAACTCCCTGTATAGCAGAGGAAAGACCAATGCCCAGCATAAGAAGCCTACTCAATGTAATCTTTTGAGAATTTGGTTTTCTGCTGTCAGGTTAAAAAACATTAAAAAAAAAAAAGGAGACATAGAAAAAAGTTTAGTACATTCACCTTTTAGCACCAGCTTTTAGGCAAATAACTTAGATTTCTCCTCTGCCACTGTGGGTAGTGGGTCCAATTTAGGCCACATTTACATGCAGAGTTTCAGAAGAAATTTAAAAAAGCTTCGCTTCAGAGGAGTTAAATTAGCAGTAGAGGTGAGCGTTTCCTTCCCCTGCCAGGCATGTAGCAGGTCTGGGCTCAGGGGAGGTTTCCTCCCTGGGCCTGTGCAAGAATTATGACTCCAGTTAAAGCCAACGTTCAGCTCTGGGGTAGAAAAAGATTGGCGTCAGAATAAGATGCACTCTATTTGAAGAGCAAAATCACCAAGTACAAGAGAGTGGTTCTGCTGGAGGAAGACGAAGCTTTCTCATCCTGAGCAGCTCATGCCAGTGCCCTTTGGGGAGGCCTTTGCCCAGACTGCCTTAACTGACATTTGGAAGCAAACTGTAATCTCTGAGAATGGAGGAAGTTCAAAACGGACCTGGTAGCCTGGCATTAGGGGAAGGAAAATACACATGGGAAGCTTTGGATCCGGCCTCCACGTGAAGCAGCTGAACGAGGCAGGAGGAAAGCCCTTCACGTGTGTCCTCCTGACTTTTTCATCTATAAAATGAAGGCCTTAGAGTAAATGAGGTTTAAGATCTCTGCTGCTTTTAAAGTTGCTGCTGACTTTTGATCACAGGGCATGTTTTGGGAAAACAGAAGGGGTAAAGCTGAGAGAAAGGAGTGACCACATCCATTCAGGGGGCCTGGGGCCAGGCTATAATAAGTATTTGTTGCTTTTGACTGTCTGGTATCTACTGGTTTTTTTGGGGGGGGGGCATTTTCCCCCTTCTCTTGGTCCATGTGGTTCCAAGGAGGCTGACTTCAACACCTCTCTTTCTGCCCCGAGCACTGGGAAGGCTTGGTCAATGATACTCCATCCTGGGACTTCTGTTCATTTTCTCTGCTAAGCTGTGAGGGTATAAAGCTCGGGCTGCTGCTAAGGTCTTTGCAAAGGGAAGGCCAGTTGGAGAAGAAGGTAACATGGAGGAAGGCAGAGGTGAGGGGCAGGGGTGGCGTGGTGGGAGACAGAGGGACAGAGGGAACACACTGATGAGATTACTGGAGCACTATGAGCCTGCTGTGCCCGAAGCTAGAACCACCCCTGGACTCTTGAGTTACATAAGCCCTTTCCTCCTTTCTCCCTTCAGCCAGTTTGAGTGGAGCTGTGACTAGATGCTGCATGGAAGGCTGACCCACCTCTGTGTTGTTTCCGTACCACCACACGTAAGTGAGGGTGCCCACTTGGCTGGGCCACAGCACTGCCGTTGCGTTGACCTCTTTGTTCTTTGTTGTGACAAAGGGAAGAGACAGGTGTACATGCTCCAGGGGACCTGAGGCACAAGAGAAAAGACGAGGCATAGAGAAGGAAGATCTTTCTCTGCTTCACCTTCCCTGCTCTGAAGAGAATACATATTCGTTCTGGAAGCCTCCAAAACATCACAGTCATACTCCCTGAGGAAAGTGCTAAGGGGCTTTCCCTACTTTGGAGAAAAGATATCTTGTGACCCACTGTGTCTCAATATTTTCCATTTACTGATCTTTCTGCCAGACCTAAAACCTGAGTTATTTATGTGTAAAACTTTAAAAACTTACAAGTAATTTATGAATTCCTTAAATGAAGAGGCATAATATGAGGATTCATAGGAAGATGCAAAGTCTTTCTAAGAGATCGTATCCGTGGTGGTAAACGAGGATGATGAAAACCTCACGGACTCCATGTGTGTGGCCACGGGGGCAGGGGGTGGTGGTTACGGCACAAATCCCCAAACCATTCTAGATGTCATTATTCTTGACACTTTGTTGGGATTTTCAAGATCTGTATATGTGTAAATCTGTGTGTTTGTGTGTGAGAGTGTGTGTATCTCTCCGCAGGAGTATATTTAACACCACCTGGTTCAAACTGTTTGGTGTTGAGTTCAGCTTGTTCAGGTCAAGTATGCATGAGCAGGGAGAGACAGCTTTGTGGTTCTCTGGATGTGCTCAACTGAAAAAGGGGATGATTCTACTTATGGAGATCCATTAGAGAGAAGCCTTGATCAGATGCACAAACCCACAAAGCTATGAGTTCTCTCTTCAGAGAGAACCAGTAGGGCCCTTCCTCTGACCCCTGGTCTTCCCTTTGAGTCACTTCTCCTAGGCAAAAATGCAGTTTCCTCTGAGGTGAACGTGGCAAAAATCTGTCATCCCACCATTATTCCATGAGGCAGAGAAGAAAGTGTTACCTTTCCACCTGGTTTAATCACTACCTCTTCTGCTAGATCTTTAAATGCGTTTCCTACAGTACTGACTTTGGCCTTTTTTCCCTCCATTTACTGTTCTGCTGAGTAATCTCATCCACACCCTGACCTTCAACAATAAAGTACGTGCTCATAACTCAAAAACCACCTACTTGACTCGGGACTCAATTAGGAGCCAGATGTTCCTAAGAAATTCATTATCCCCCCGCCCCATTTTCTATTCTCCATGTCTTGATGAATGGAAACCAATGTTTATCCAGGGGACCAGACCAGAAGCATAAAGTCAATCTGGATTCCTCATTCCTTGCCACCCATTCTGTGTTGGAAACCACTGGCTTGGTTTCATAAATATCTCTCAGTGAGAGCTCCTCTCACTGTCCCCAATCCTTCCCTGGCTCATACAGCTGGACTATCATGAGCCGTACCAATCTTCCTGCCTCCAACCTGCCCCCAACCTAATCCATCCTCCTGCCCTATGTGTTCAGTGCCTGCCTTCCTCAGTAATAATAAGTTGCACCAAGTGCCAGGGTTCTCAGCCCCCAGAATAAAACATCTAGTCCAAGGTCAGGGTAGAGGAAGTGCAAAGATCTTGAGGGCGAGGTGGTTCTCCATGTTTGCAGAATAGAAAGAAAGCCCAAGTGACTGCATAGAGAGATGGAGGGAAACAGTGGGAGCCAATGAGATCTAAGAGGGATTCAGGACACATAGCATATTGTTTTGTAGGCTCTGAAGTATGCATATGTGTGTTTATATGAGTTCATTCTTACATGTATGCACATTATACATTCATACCACGTATGGCAATGACTAGGTATCTTCTCACACTACAAACTGTTGTGAGAGTGATTTTTTAGAAAGCCAAGTTGATCATGCTACTTGTTCAAAATTAAAATTCCCATTACCTAATGATGATGATGATAGTTAACACATATTGATCTAAAATTTGTGAGACAGAGAACACAGCCTGCAAACTTTCGGAGGGTAAGAGTCTTTCATATTTATCTTTGCATCTAAAGACTAGCATAGTTCCTGAGATGTAGCAGATAATCGAATGTTTGCTGGGTAGGTGAACAGATGGTGCAATTTCTTGTTGCTGCTTTTGTCTATGCTTCTCTCTCTTTAGAGAATTAGAGGCCTGGTGACCAGCATACAGAATAGAATTGATTTTCTGGCTTATAAGCCATATAAGAAGTAGTTGTTCATAAGTCAGAACGGTTCAATGTGCTAAAAAAGGGCACATCTACTGAGTGATGACCATGTGCCACATATTCTGCTAATGACTCTTTTCATTCTCATTTGCTCCTCACAACAACCTCATGAAGCAGGCACTACTATCATTTCCATCTAGAGATGAACAAACAGAGGACAATGATTCTCCCAAGGTCACGCAGCTAGGAAACATCAATTCCGGGGTGTGGGCCAAAGCAGTTTGATTTTAAAGCCCATGCTCTGGCCAGCTGACAAATGCTCAAAAAGATCCCTCCCATCTTCACAAAACAGCTACGAAGAGTCAGTATCTACCCATCACCTAAATGTATCCCAGGCGCTGGCAGGGGCACTTTACATGTGCTCTCATTTCTTACATGGTTCTGCTGTTTCCTATCACTCAGTTTGTTCCAGCAGGTTCTGCCCTGTTATGCCCTGAGGCTTCGGCATAGACTCCTCTCTCAGGGCACCTGTCAGCCTTCGAATCTCAGTTCCAGTGACCAGGCTTCTGGAATGTTCTTTCTGACTCCCCTGATCGGAGGTAAGTGACTCAGCTAGAATACAAGGACTAGATAAGCTCTCTTAAGCATGCCACTTCCATCCTAAAGGGGTTCATTATCTGTGTCTCTCTCACATATGAGTATTGAATATTTTTTAAAGTCTGACCATCAAAGTAAGGACAGTGTCTGTGTGTCCTGTTAATGGCAAAAATGGAATCTTCTTCGGGAAATGTGGTCATTAATTCATTCAACAGTTTCAGAGGGCTGCCACATGTCAGGCATTATTCTAAGTGCTGGGGACACCTGCTACTTGGTGGAGCTCATGTCTTATTGGGGGAGGTGGGCACTGAACACATAAAGCAGCGGTAGGTGATAGAGTGCTGGTTTTGTCTCTCAGGAGAAATGACATGTGAGCAGTGAGCTGAATAAAGTGAAGGAGTGCACCACATACTCTTCGTGATGCTCCAGGGTGAGGGCAGGGCAGGTGCAAAGACCTTGAGCAGGAGATTTGCTTGCCATGTTTGAGGAACAGCAAGAAAGCCCAGGTGGCTGCAGGTGAGAAATGGAGGGAAAGAGTGGGAGCCAATGAGATCTAAGAAGGATTCAGGACTCACAGCATATCGGCTAGTCGGCCCTGAAGTATGCATATGTGTGTTTGTATGAGTTCATTCTTGCAGGTATATGCATTACACATTCATTCAAGTGTGCGCAATTTACCTTTCATATTCCTGCCTTGTCCTCTTGTACTCATTTACTTTTCAGGTGCTTAACACACCTAGTTCGTGCTGCCGAAAAGCCTATCTTTTAAGCATCTCTTCTACGTACAGAGGGTGCAGTCTGCACTAAGCTAGCTGAGCTGTGGAAGTACCACTCCAGCCCCTGGAGGCCCGCAGCTGGCTGGCTGCACTAAATCCAGAGGTGAACAAGCCCCAAGTGGCTCCAGAAGACAGGTGCCTGTGATGCACAAAAAGGACAGCAGGTGGCGCTGCATCATTCCATATGAATCTTCCTGGCAAGGTGGGTGAGGGAACTGGGAAATTGCTTGTGGAATTGGGTCTTCCTCTTTTCTTGTTTAGCCCTAATGTGCTATAGGAAGCAGCTGACGTTTGTGAGGCTGAACATTGTGTGTGTGCACGCGCGTGTGCGCACGGGCACACGCACGCGTGCATGTGTATACACACCTTTGTAATGCTTGCTCTGGACTCTGACATTTGTTTTGGAGACCTCATCTGACCACCAAATTAAATAGTGTGCATGCGTTACATTGCTGTTTGTCTGAAATGTGAAAAATCCTCTAGAAGAAATAAAAGTAGTTCAAAGTATAAAGATGAGATCCTAAAACGGAGTTCCTTAAACTTCAATGTGCAAAAGGATTATACTAATCTGTTCAAGGCAGATTATGATGCACACTTCTAGGAATTCCAATATAGCAGGTCTGGGATGAGGCCTAGGACACTATTTTTATCATGTAATTCTGGGGCAGGTGACTCGTTAAACCACACTTTACAAAACTCAAGTCTGATGTTTGCTGGCCAATATAATAATCACGTGAAAAGTTGCAAAGCTGCATGGGTTTTCAAGAAAACAATCACTTTAAGATAGGAACAGAAAGACATCTGCAAATGGCACCTGTGTACAGATGTAGTTGGGGAGATTTGGGAAGAACTAAAAAATCTGTCTCATCTTTTTTTTGTTTTTTCAAACCTCCCATTCTGCAAATTTGCACAGTTTTCAGTGACTTTTTTCTGCGAGACTGGCTGAGATGGGGTAGCCTTCTGAGCAGAAATTTGCATGTCCTCTAAATTCTACCGCCTGCCCCGCCGGCGGAAGGCAACACTGGCTGCACAATGTGTCTTGTTAGTTTGCCAACTAGCAGAGCGCAGTAAATCCCGTCCCCAAGGACTTTCCAACTGTCAGGTTACAACAGATTACCCAGCCTCCCAGTGAGAACGGCTGGTCCACGCCTGGGAACATCAGAGCAGGCACATCATCTCCATCTGTTTCTGATGACCTTTGCAAACCCATATTAAAAAACCAAAAACCAAAACAAAACAAAGCCCTCTGGCCTTCGGCTCAGGTCATGATCCTGGAGTCCCGGGATTGAGCCCCGCGTCGGGCTCCCTGCTCGGCAGGGAGTCTGCTTCTCCCTCTGACCCTCCTCCCTCTCATGCTCTCTGTCTCTCAGTCTCTCTCTCTCAAATAAATAAATAAAATCTTAAAAAAAAAAAAACCCAGAAAAACAAAGCCCTCTGATTTGGAATCAAATCACCTTTCTGACCTGGAGAGGAGAGAGAGAGTATGCCATCAAGTCAGGCAATGGGCGAGAATTCCAGGCAAGGGAAGGAGTCCTGGTGACAGAGGCAGAGGGCAGGCATGGAAAATGAGCTAAGAGTTGCTGCTCCAAACCCACTAAGGAGAAACACACGCACTGCTTTGTGATGATGGAGAAGCAAGCTTTACTAGCTGATGGGTCACAGCATATTTTGCTTGAAGGAACCTCTGAGAAACAAGATGTGCCTTCCTCACATGACAGAGGAGAAAACCTAGGCTCAGAGAAATGGAGTGACTTGGCAGGAGTTCAGGCCAGCATCTGGACCTAACCACTCCTAACCCAGGCCAATGTTGGTTTGTTTTTTCTACAAAGAATACCCCCTGCCCTGCCCCCAGGCCCTGGGACTGCAGCACCAAAAATTTCCATGATCTCTTTCAGGTTTGAAATTTGGGGGAATGTTAATCACTTATGGTCTTGTTCTGATTTCCTCTTAGAGTAAAACAGCATCAAAGACAAGGTCCTTCTCCAATCTCTGCTTTCTCCATCGGAAAGGTATGCCCATCGTTATGCGAGGCAGAATCCTGCTTCGATAGAGTTAGTACAAAAGGGTTAATTCTTATGCCCAAGGTCAGGCTTAGAAAAGGGTTCCATTATATGAGGTATGCTTATCCAAACACTGAACCCAAGATGAGCCTAACAAAATTAAAATCAGAGCACAAAACTTCCCCTTACAAAGCATCTGCCACTAAGGTAAAAGGCACACTGCTGAGCCACTCAACTAGGCTAATGAGAAGAAAACAAAAAGTGAAAAAGAAACTTATTTCTTTTAGAAGTCCTGGCGTCAGCAACCTTTGATCTCTGTGCTGGTTTCCTTCCCAGGGTCGAGTAAACCTGGCAGAGGGCCAGGGTAGGGAACTAGTCCTCAAGGGATACGATCATTTTTGGGGGCAAGGACGAATCCAAAGGGTGACCAGGAGGGCAAGGTGTGGATGATCTACGGGAGAGCCTGAGAAAGGGAGACTGAAAAGCTGCTGAATTTGAAATCAGTATTCACACGTGGTTAGAGTGCGGTAGATGTTTCATACATATACACGATATGGACTAAAATAACTGTAATTCTTCAGGAGAGCAGCTCTCAAACAAAAATCCTCCCCTTACAGAATAAGCCATGGAAAATGAGAGGCTGCTAGGTAGGTGGTCATTCCCAGCAAATGTACTGGCGTTTGTGCCGTAAGTTAGTTTGGCTACCAATAACCAATGTTTGTGATGTATTTCTGAGAGATTTTCTGACCATTCCTTAGTAAGGAAGATTATTTCTTAGTAAGAGGCACCTCCAGAAAGTCCATACAGGACAGCCTAGAGAGGGGAGGGGCCACCACGGCATCAGAGGGGCCTCTGAAATGTGCCTTGAACCTACACAGTTGTCTAGTGAGTTGCTTATGCTCCTTTGGGACAATCTGCAAAGGGGTGGAGGGGACAAGGGCTGCTGGAGACAAGTTCCATCACCGACAGCACTGACAATGACCTCGGGGATCCAGAGCTGGCATTCCAGACACGGGCAGACCTGAGTCTGAAGCCTGGCTTTGCCAGATAGCAGGTCTGCAATTTCAAATACATTATTCAAGCTCTCTGGCCCCCACTGTTCTTTGTAAAGTAGGGTTTCTAATAGTGCCTACTTCATCAGGTCATTTTGAGAAGTGAGATCATACATGGAAAGAGCTTGCTTAGCACAAGGCTTGGCGCATAGTAATTGCTTAATCAACTTTAGCTGAAAAGAGGCAAGAGGAGTGTGCAGACTGTGAATCTTATAAAGCTTTGCTTAAACCCAAAGAAGGGAGGATGTGTTTCTTCAAAGCACCTTTGTCATGAGTGTGTGGGAGAGGAAGACCAAGAATCACTGATACTGCAGGAATCCTCGGTAATGAACTATCACCCAGGGGATCCCTAAATAGTCTTGTCCCCCACTGGACCACAGCAGCTTAAGAGAAAGGAATCTAGTTGGTATGTTCTGTACTCAGTTCAATGCGCAAGAGGCAGGTAGGAGGCATGGAATACTGCCCAGCCTTAACGCTCTTGGCCTGGAATTTAGAATTAATCTGGACAAGGCCATTCGTAAAAGGAGCTGCTTTCGTTGAAGGCCAGCACCTTATCCATTAGGTCACTGGGGTTTCACGTAGCTACTTTCATTTTAAAGCAAAGCATTTCTGTAGCAACCTAAACATGCCCTAAGCCTGTTTGGGGACACCCGCACACCTGCCACCAGGGGCATTCGTGGCGCACGTTTGTCCTACACGTAACTTAGGAGCTGTCGTGACCTCATCATACTCATTACACCTTCATACTCCTCGACGGGACAAATGCTTCAACACTTCTCAATGCAGCGCTTTCCCTCTCTCAACACCACCTTCCCTCTAACACCAAACATCACAGATAAAGGCCCAGGAAATGCTTTAAAAAAGGAGCAAAAGTCTAAAAGCGTAATTTACAGTGAGACGTATCATGGGAAGAGAGGAATAATCAGATGGGGAGAAATCCCGTCACTTGTGCTCATTCTCAATGTATTAGATTGAGCCATACGCGGGGATTGTTTTTAAATGTTTCTGACTTAAAAGAAGAAAAAGACAAACTCATGTGCGATCAAAGAGCTCGGCCAGTGGCCAGACACAGGGGTGCTGTGTCGGAGGCTCCTGGAAGAGGCACAGTAAGTGCAATGAGAACAAGTTCAAGCAACACAAATCCTAGGATTAGTCAAGCTCCACTCCCTGAATTTCTTTTTACTTTCTCCCCACTTGGCTCTCGTATCCTCCTTCCCCATCTCCTTAGACATAACTGGAGAGCTGCTTCTAGACAGGAGACTCTGGGTTATACTTTAAAAGGGACACGACATTTGAAATAGGTCATAAACCAACAACAGTAATAACATACAAGTTACATGTAAGTACAGGACGGCGCTGTCAGAGCCCAGACTGTTGTCCACCTGCACGGTCACTCGGAAAATGCCCACATTGTGATAGACGTGTTTGATCCCATCTTCCATGGAGCTGAGGTTGACGTAAGACACTGCAATGCCATCACCGAAGTCCACTTGGATGAGTGTCCTCTGGACGTCACCCTGAAAAACAGCCCAACGTCAGAGAAGGGGAGTCGGTGCTGGCCGCTTCTGCCCCGGGGGCCGGGGCTTGTCCCCGCCCCTGGGTCCCTGGCTCAGGGCTAATGGCAGACTCTGGCTCCCTCCTACAGCTGGGAGCATCTGTCTGCATTTGACAGAATCCCTGTGACATTCCCTGGCAGACAGGAGCTTACCAAGATGGATGTTCTCCAAATCTGAAGGGCACCCACCACCAAAAGTTTCAAGGTTTGGAAAACTAAGTCTTTGATAATCCATTCCAATTGGATATTCAATTTCTCTGAGGGATCTGTTTACACTCTTATCGTCCCCATGAATAAAATGTGTACATACACAGCTTTTTAAAGATTCAGCCTACCTGACATGGTTACAGACCTCTTCCCTTGTGTTCAGGACCCTGGAATCCCCTTCTTATTCCTGGTTCTCTTACCATCTTAAAGGAAGGATAAAAGACACCTTGCCTCACACCTGATAGGACACTGGGTTCAGTGCTATTATTATTTAAGATAATGATGGTTACTTCTTTTATACTTCAGTATTTTGTGCTATAAAAAATGATAATATTTTATTCTTCACAGAATCTTAGCTGGGAGAGAAAAATAGGCTACATTTGTCCATTTTACTGGTAGGGAAGCTGAAGTCAGGAAAGACTTCATTATCTGTTCAAGGCTAACACAGCTAGTTAGGGGCAGACCTAGGATTTGAACCTATCTCTGTGGGCTTGGATTTCATTCATTATAGGTGGATAAAGCACAGATGGCTCCTCCAGGCTTGAATCCCAGGGTGCCATTAGCAAGCTGCATGGCTTCATGCAAGTCATTCAGCCTCCCTGAGTCTCGGTTACCTCATCTATGAAATGGGCATAATAATACCTTACTGTCTTCACTCAAGGGGTTGTTATAAGACATGTGAGTTAATTAATCCTCTGTAAAAATTTGGACTAAATCAATGACTGTCAAAACCATGCAGCTGTGAAGGGTGTGCAATCCCCTTTTACAGCTGGATTGGAATCATACACATCTAAATTTCCCAGTGGAAGGTAGGAAGAGGGAGGACAAAAGTCTGCTTTCTAAAATTCCAGACCTGTAAGAAAACGGTTTTGGAATAACAGTAGAGATTCTTAAGGAACAAAGTTTCTTAGACTCAACTGACAAAAACCAGCTTCCTTCCCATGCAGCCCATCCTTTATCAAGTTTTCCTTGTTTGTTTTGTTAGCTTTTCCCATTTTCAGGGAAAAAAAACCTAAAAAAAAAAAAA